ACCCAGGCATTCCGATCACTTGACCTTACTGAATATATTAGCTTTCTAATAATTCTGAACCCGCTATTAGAATAATACACTTGTTCGAAGGACACCATTCCTTTCAGCTTGTGGTTGTGTTTGTAACTGTGATGTATAGCCTAAGAGGTAGTTTAGGTATTGGTGGTGCTAAAATTGGTGGACTTTTGAGATAATCTTTGATTTTCTCAAAGGCCTTTTGGCATTGATCGTCCCATTCATGTTTTTCTTCTTTTATCAACTTTTTAAATATTGGCTCACAAGTCATAGTCAATTTATTGATAAATCGACTAATGTACTGTAGTTTTCTAAGGAACCCCCTAATTTCTTATTCTGTTTGAGGGGGAGGCATATCAACGATTGCCTTTATTTTAGAGGGATCAATCTCAATACCACGTGTGCTTACTACATATCCGAGTAACTTGCTGGAAGTTACTCCGAAGGCGCATTTTTGTGGATTCAATCGCATTTTTTATTCTTTTATGCGAGTGAAAAATTTGCGTAAAGCTTTTACGATCATATCATCCACATACAGTTCTATTTCTTTATGCATCATATCATGCAAGAGAGTCGTAGCCGTTCTTTGGTACGTAGCTCCTGCATATTTTAAACCAAATGGCTTGATTGTGTAGCAATATGTACCCTAAGAGGTGATAAAGCATGTCTTTTGTTCGTCTTCTTTTGCCATTAAAATTTGGTTGTAACCTGCGTATTCATCAATAAAGGATAACATCGCATGTTTAGCCGTGTTATCTACCAATATATCAATATGTGGTAGAGGAAAATCGTCTTTAGGGCTAGCCTTATTTAGGTCCCTAAAGTCGACACACATGCAAACTCGTCCATCCTTTTTAGGGACTGGGACGATGTTCGCTACCTATTCTGGGTAATTACATACGAGAATGAAACCTGCGTCTAATTGCTTTTGTACTTCTTTTATTTTCAGAGCGACATTAGGCTTCATTCGTCGAAGTTTTTATTTTACTGGTTTAGAGGTAGGGTTCAAGGGAATGGTATGTTCCGCAATTTCCCTATATATTCTAGGCATGTCCTTGTATGACAAAGCGAACACGTCTTCGAATTCTTTGGGCGTCGATATGAGGGTCGATCGCTCTTCCGGATTTAAAGATAAGCCAATTTTGACATATCTTTTGTTTTCATTAGTTCTTATATTGATTGTTTTGGTTTCTTCAATTATAGGGTTCTTTTGTTCTCGTTCATTCATTGGTTCAATCAATTTATTAATATTATCATCTTCATTAGATTGATTGTCATAACATTCAAAAGACTTAAGAGAAGGCATATACTTAGAAATAGAGCTCATATTATTAAATTCAAAAGAGAGTACATCAAGAGAAGAATCCTTTTTTAGATCTTCGACATTAGAACTAGAAAAAAAAGATTCAGTAATGGCCACAAGGCCTAAATTTTCAGCTTCCCTAGAGTCTATACTAGATTCGTCGTTCGATTCTTCAAACATATTCCTTTTGCCTGTGACGATTTCCAGCTAATCGCCTTTGTGATTGGTCCATTTGAATGAGTTCTTAATTCCATGCTCAAAGGTTTCATTAGAAGGGGTGATCAACGAGGTTGGGTCAAAAGCTTCATCTTGAATGACATTTTGATTAGTCATTGTAGCGACATGATTTTGCTCTAGTCCAAATAGCAAGATGAAGGCTTGCCCATCATAGCACCATGGAGTTGGGTGTTTTGATTAAATGATTTTAAGATCGTCATTCAAGAAGTAGCAATCGTGAAATATTTCGAATCCAGGCTTCTTGGTTTCATCCAGAATTATTGGTTCTGGAAAGTCATAGCAAGGGTAATTTTCTCCCTCCCTAATGAATTTTCCATTAAGGATTTGTTGGTAAGATGAGAGAAAAGTGATTATCCCCTTTTTATTGTTATCATTACGTGCTTTGTTTTAGCATCGTGAGACTCTAGTTCTTCCTTGGTTGGTTTGTATCCCAACCCAAAGGAGAGACTATCCGGGTGGAGTATGGATCAAGCTTGAATGATTCTTCAAGGCTCTCTTCCATTTCGATTGTGTAGATTGGCTTGGCGATAAATCCCCACATGTTCTCTTCATCCTTATCATGGTTTATTTCTAGAAGTGATTGACCATTTATAGCTATTTTGAGAGAAGTATGTATAGTCATAGGAAGCCCTTGATAGTTTAACCTAATCATTTGATGAAGTGAGGATGGTATTGCACCAAGCTCATGTATCCAAGGACGGCCCAGTAGAAGGTTGAATATGGGTTTAATATCCATGACATGGAATTCAACCGTCTTTTGAATTGGGCCTGTGGTGACTGGTAGCTTAACAATTCCACACACTGATCTCCTCGAGTTATCTTAGGCCTTAATGCTCTGTGTTGTTGAATGAAAATCTTTTCCTGGATTAAGGCCTAGATATTTTGCTATTCGTAATGGGCACACATTTATAGCCGACCCATTGTCTACTTAAGTAATAGGGATATTGTATCCCTTGCACCCCACAGTTAGGTATAATACATTGTTGTGGGTAGTGTCTTTTCAAAGCCAAATCATAATTTGTGTAAGTGATTGATTTTTCGGATTTCTTGCTAGTAAGTAAGCTAACGAGATCTTGAGGGGTTGTGTCTATGCTTACAGACAAAGTCGTTAGAGCGTTCATAAGAGAACTCCTATGTTCTTTAGAAGTACTTAGGAGTTCCCAAATGCTAACATTCGCTTTGGATTGGCGAAGTTGTTTAACCAATGGATCTTCCACCTCAAGTGGAGGTGGTATTGGATTTTGTACTTAACCTTGAGTTTGATTTTGTGTGGTCAAAGATCTATTTGGTGGTACTTAACCTTAGAACGTGTTGGATGATCTATCTCATTTGGGTTAGTTATAGGACTCATGAACCAACTTTCTCCTAGAGGCTTTGAAGGTGCCTCCATTTCAAGATGTTCCATGAGTTGTGCTTGATGTCATTGTTCATCCAAGGAGAGATTTGATAAGTCTTGTGAATTCCCCAAGAAATGATCCCAATTAAGCGATCCATTTGTCTCATTTTGTAAACAAGATGGAGGTAGGACGGCGGCATACTTAGAGACATATAAGTCTTGAAAGTCGTCGCCCCATATTCAACATACTTCATTAGTTTTCCCTATGAGTATTGTGGCTAGAGGTTCACCTATAGGTGTGATATAGTCCAAAGGATCAAACGTATCACTTCCCATATGGTCCTCATCAATATAAAACACCCCTAATGGGGATGCATTATTGTTAGGTATAGGCGTGGGAATTCTCCCATCGTCTACTAAATCTTGTATTTTGTGTTTTAAGACGTAGCAACGCTCAGTATCGTGCCCAACGCCTCTAAGATAAGCACAATAAGCATTAACATCCCAATTAGAAAATCTTTTTTTTCTGGTGGAGTGGGTGGTGTTGGCCTTGTTGGTGCAAGTAAACGTTTTTCGCTCAATTTTTCTAATAATTCTTTATAGCTTACAGGAAATGGTGTAAATTTTCTTTCTATTGCCCATCTTTTTCGTGGATCATTACTGTTATTATATTGCGTGGAAGTTGAAAATACATCAATAGAGGATGAAGTATTATCATTCCCCATTTTTGTAGTTATTTCTAGATTGATGATGATAAGGTTTGTTTGCTTTTTCTTTAGCAAGATCATCTTCAAACCTAGTAGCCACAGAATAGACCTTTTGAAAAGTGTCTAAACCAAGGTAACGTAGATGCTTGTTGTACTTTTCATGACGATTGTCAATGAACTTTTGTACTAACTCGAGTTCAGGTGGCCTTTGGGCAAGGTGAGCCGCCTTTTATCGCCATCTACCATAGAAAGCAAGGAAACCTTCATCGTCGCCTTGCTTAAGCATTTCAAGTTCATGTAGAGTCAATTTGAACTCTACGTTACTCTCATATTGGGTAATTAAATCTGAAAATACATCTTCCCATGTTGTTTTGAATTTTGGATCTAACCCATAGTACTACTCCCTTGCGGTTGGGTCTAGAGATAAAGGGAAAGTTAAATCATAAAGCTTAGGATCAACTCCCTTTAATGCTATGGTGCCAGTAAAACACATTAAGTGGTTTTGTGGATTATTGGTCACCTTAAATATTGGCAAGTCCGTAGCTACGAACTTTTCCGGTAAAGCAAGTCCTGGGGGAGGAGCAAACTTTTCTGCGTTGAAGTACTTGTTCCCTATGGTGGAATGAAGAACAAGCTTCTCCAACGACTTTTCTTTGACAGATAATTGTTCCATCTTTTGTTGCAAGGCTAGAGTCTCAGTTTTTTTCTTTTTCAGCCTTTTCAAGTTTTTTAATTCTTCTTTCCTCGGCCTCTTGAGCATTTTCTTCTCTCAAGCGAGCAATCTCTTCTTGGAGTTGCTCGATGGTTGACATTGTTGTTGGACTAGGATTAGTTGTCGAGGGAAGGCGGTTTGAAAAGGGTGGATTGCTTGATGGTAAACGTAGAATATGAGCGCCTTGGAGTCTTCGTTCCCAAGCTTGAAAACCGGCCCTAAAGGAAGTTAGAAAGGATAAGTAAATCGATACGCTTGTTTAGAAGAAAGAAAAAAAAGAAAATGACGCAAGATATATTCGAACGGATAACATCACCCTTAAACAATTCTTTAATGAAGATATTATTCGAGCGAGTCAATTTGTTTTTTGAGAAATCAAATCGACTCATAGCAGTGGGCGTGCGCATCAGAATCACACTACTACAAAATTGGCCAAAGAGACCCAATATAAAAGACCTGATATCTACATAAGTGGTCTCTTTTGTCTAAGAGACCGTTTATTATTAATAATGGGTCTCTAACTTCATTTTTTGGAGGTGTAAAAACATTCGAGAGACCTGTTATTTAAAATGACAGGTCTCTTGCATTTTTTTTCCAAAAAGTGATTTTTTTAAAAATAAACCAAAGACCGCATATTGAATTGACCAGTCTCCTGTTTTTCATAGAAAGACTTGTTAAGATGAAAGACTAGTCTCTTGTTTTCGAGCTTTCACGTGCGCCACTCTCTTTTTCTCTTTTTAACTTCTCTTTCCCCCCTCACTCTTACCTGTTCCCTATTGTTCCCTCCTCTTCTTATCTCTCTTTCTCTCTCCTCCTCCAAACCCTAACCATTTTCTTTAAGCCCAATACAACAATGCAGATCAAGCAGCCATAAACAAGAAAAGGAAAGAATAATGGCGAAAAAAAGTGAACAAAATTACCGAAATTAAGCTCTCGATTACTCAAATGCTCGTTCGGTGAGAAATTTTCCCTTTTTTGATTTTATTATTTTGCTCTTAGATTTGTGCAAAAATAGGGGTTTTTCCCCATTAATTCTTGTTATCTACTTCGTATAAGTTTATTTAGGTGAGATCTTTGAGTTCTAACCCCAAAAACTGTACAAGAACAAGAAAATTCGAGCTTGTTAGATCTGGTGTTAAAACTTTAATTTGATTTATGTGAACAACCGAGTACGATAGGTTGTTCGATATTTGTGGTAATCGTGATTTGTATGTATGTTTTGTGTTATGGAATTTTAGATCTGGTGCAAAACAATGGTGAATTTACATCGTTAAGGGCGTTAACCATCCTTATAAAAAAGAAATTTATTTTGTGTTATGGAATTGAATGTCTTCCATTATAATACTTCTTGTTTTTTAATGTTTGATGATAGTATTTTGTTTTAATGTTCAAAGCTTCACACGAATCTTGAACTTGTTTACAACTGTTGTTATCTCTTCTTTTCGATCTCCTACTTTTTCTTTTTTATTTAAATATTTTTTATGTTGTGATTTAGTTTTTCAGATCTGTTTATGTTAAAGTATTGTTATAATTGATTTTGTAAATGAATTTTGATGCTTATATATGAGTAATATGACTCCTAATTGTTTGTATTTGAATACTTCTACCAGATTCTACAAGTTGATCTGATGATACTTGATTTACCCGGATTTGACAAGTTGAAGCAATCTTCAGCAATTTTAGAGGTCTATAACTTCTTGGTTTCTCCATAAAGCTCGAAAATGGTGGGATTTTATGATATAGAAAATGAGAATTCTGTATTAGAAAGAACTCAAAATAGTAGTGGAATTGCTTTTTTTGTTCATATTAATACAGATTAAAGTGTTAGTGTGGATTTTTGTATATGAATTTTATACCTATTCCCTACGTATTATAGTATCCAAGTATTTATACATGTAGAAGTTATCAATTGTATGAATAAATTGGTTATTTTGGATTTCTTTTTTAAAATTAAATGTTGCAAGAGACCGCCTATCTCATATAACAGGTCTATGTGAAAATAAAATAGAGACTGTTTATCTGACAACACGGGTCTCTTTCGCTTTGAATTTATTAGATCTACAACTACCCAATGAAATCGCCTATCCTAGATGACAGGTCTCACTTTTTATAAAAATTAAGACCTCTAATGAAGCAGTCTCTTTGCCAAAGAGACCGCTTAGCTAGAGACCGCTTCTAAGGCAGTCTCTTTGGCCTATTTAAACGGGTCTCTTAGGCCAATTTTGTTGTAGTGTCACTTGCGCTGGTACGGGTTGCGCAACACGTTGAATTGCGCGCGCCACCTATTCGTAAGATTTTTTTTAATTCCAGCGCTTTTTTGTTTTGTCATCGTTTTTTTTTATTTTTTTTATGTTACCCTTCGAATACGACTCAAAATTACGAAGGGACAACATCTTAATTGGGAACCAAGACCAAACTAAAAAAAGAAAAAAGAAGGCTATCCTAACACGTTGCACATAGTCACATAATCACATAAAGCATGTCATAAAACAAGATTCACGCAATGCCATTTCTAAGGTCAAAAGGCTTGGGCGTCCAAAGGTACCATATCTTCTGAAACGACGCACAACTCAATCACTGAACGTGTTGACTCATGACATCGCTCTCCCAACATTTTGTTGGCGATATGGGTGGGATGATTGTTATTGATTTCGGGATAGAAGCCTAGTGTTGGCGACCCCTAATCGATGAGCCAATCCCCAAAGGTTGAAGTGTGCTATGATTATGCATCATGCAATGTTACTTGTTTGGTTTTTACTTTTGTGAAAAAGGAAGATATTATGCGTTCAAGTCTCAATCTCTAACTAGAAATTATCCAAGTTAATTCCTGTTACATCCCATAGGCATCCTAGTGTTGGAAACCTTTGACCATAACTAAGAACTAATCATGTAACCTCTAAGTCCCCAGTGGAGTCCCCGCTGTATGGAGGGTGATTCCATCGTAAGGGGGTCCTTCCTTAGATGCCTATGGCCATTTAAAAGCCTAGGACTTTACACTTGTTAAGGTGTAGTAGGATTTGAATTCCTGACTGTTTGTGGGAACTTGAATTAGAATTGATTCTATCATTACGCTTTTTTTTTTATAAGAAACAAGTAGGAGTTGCCAATGAGTTTTAGGAAAACTCATAAACGTCATTCATAGCTTTCTTCCATGTGGAGTTCATGGAATAAATTGCATGAATCGTAAGTTTACCCATGTCCAAATTGGTCTACATAAACCAGAAATGAGTTCGGGAGCGAGGGTACTAAAATAACGTTCTCTTTAGGGGGGAATCGCTATCCTAGCCCTAGTACGACCTCTATTAGCTCTTCCTTTTTTTACAATTTCATCACCAAACAATATATGAAACGTAACACGATACCTAAAACTAAGTTAGTTGATTTTATTTACACACATTAATTCACGTAGGAATTACATTGCAACGTCGTTATTCTTTTTTTTTTAATCAAATTCCTAAATATAACAATATATAAACAATATTCCCTTTGGCTTAGGTGATCAACCAACAATTAATTATTCAATTCTAATCTTATTTAATGCAAGATACTATGTGGAATTGATTGATTAAACCTTTTAAAGTGATCAAGCAACACTAATTAATTAATTAAAGTTCTTTTAAACAAGAAAATGCGAGTGATTTATCTAAGTGCTTGGAAATTTACCACTTCTCTTTGCTAGATCTCCGTTTAGAACACTTATGGACTCCTTCTTGTTGGGGAACCTCCACCGTAGTAATAAAATATCAAAGGGGTGAGTGTTTAGGACAAGAGTGGTTAGGTAACACCAGTTCACAAGTTTTTCGCCAGAGTTTAGGGATAATTTCTGTCTCTTTAGGCCTTAGATTAAGCCTTTATTTATAGGGAATGGGTAGGTTTAGGGTTTTCAACATTCTGCCGAAGAAAGTGTCGCGCGGAACTGGATGAGTAGCGCTTGGCCATCCAGCGCAAGTGATTGAGTTGCTCTACTATAAGCAGCGCAACTAATTGTCTTGCGCGCAACTTTATGGCAAGATTCGATTTTCCAATTATCTAAAATTCTGAATATTTCACGAGCGCAACTCTGGCAGTTGCGTTGAGTGTCACGCGCAACTGAATTAGTTGTGCGCGCCAGTCCATCGCAATTCCTTGAGATGCGCGTGCTATTTTCTGCAGCAACGCTTATTTTAACCTAGGCACTCCTAAATCCGTCATTATTGGGTTTTAAGTACGGGCTTAAGCCTAATTATGATCGTATTTAATTAATTGGACTTTGATTGGCTCTATTTCTTAATTTGGGCTGGTCTTTTGTGTTTTGTGCTTTAACCATTTCTCCATAAGCATTCTTCTCTTCAATCCAACACAAAGATGGTTTTAGTTATCATCATTGCACTTTCTGTCAGGACAGGAGGCAAAAAGTAGGTGTCTACAAATGGGCTAACCAAAATAATTGGGGTTTGCAAATCCTCAGCCATATCAAGAAAAACAAAGTCAACTGGTATAAAAATTTACCTACTCTAACAGGAACATCGTCTAAAATACTTGAGGGGTATTTAAAAGAACATTCGGCCATTTATAGAGTAATATTAGTAGCTTTTAATTTACCCATATTTTTCTTGGAACACACAGACAATGGCATGACACTAACGCTGACACCCAAATCACATAATGCATTATCAATCATTAGATTCCCAATATGACAAGGGATAGAAAAACTACCCGGATCATTCAGTTTAGGCGGAGATTTAATTTGTTGTACGACATACATTCTGCAGTAAAAGCGACTGTGTCTACCTCACTAACATATCTCTTTCTAGTCAATATTTCCTTCATAAATTTAGCATATGTAGGAATTTATGTAATTAGTTCTGTATAGGGAAACGTTACCTGCAAATCTTTAACCATCTCCAAAAACTTACCAAAATGCTTATCCAAATTTGTTTTTAAATGACGATAGGGGAATGGGAGTTTGATAACCGGCTTTGGAGCGTTACTGCTCTTATCTAGAGCTGCTACCTTCCCTGGTGTTGTACCCTGCAATGTATTATCAGAAATATTAGAACTACTCTTTAGCCCTGTAGGGCTATTAGCAACACTGTTAGGTTTAATGAATCAAAGCATTATTCATTAAAATAGGTTCATCATCTCTAGGAATAGGGGGACCAACATTGTGTAAACCACTCCTTAGAGTAATTGCAAAAGCTTGATCCGTAGGGCTGGTTGGCTATGCTGGCAGGGCTCCTTGTTGACGGGCTTCTAGAGTAGAGGAGATCTGCGCAATTTAATTATGTATAATTTTATTATGTGCTATGACCGAATCAATTTGATCATCTCTACTCTGAATGTATTTTTGCATACTAGCCAGCATCGCTCTAATTTCTGCCAAAGCAGGGTCAGAAGATAAAGAGGGTTGTTGTGGTTGGTTCTTCTGCCCAGCATTGGGATGGTAATATTTCTGCTGTGGTTGTTGTGGCGCTTGTGAATGTTGTGGAGGTGGAAGATTTTGAACATTTGTGCTCTGGTAAGAAAGATGTGGATGATTCCGGAACCCAGGATTGTAGGTGTTGGAGTATGGGTCGTTCTGCCAATAAGCTTGAAAGGTGCAATCTTGCTCCCAATGACCTACAATTCCACAATTTTCACAGAAAGCCTCATTAGAATTATTATTAATTGCAGAAATATTAGCTATATTTGAAGTACTATGATTATCTAATTTTTTACAAATAGAGGTTAATTAACTTGTAAAAAGGATACAGAGTCGACACTATGTTTTCCTTTTTTAGCAAAGCCTTTGGGATTCCCATATTGGGAATTATGGATTGCCATATCTTCGATAACGTAACCTGCATGATCAACATTAAGGTTCATAAAACTCTCACTAGTTTCAGAATCTAATATTGTTCTAGATGAATTTCCAATCCCATTATAAAAGGATTGAATCAACTGCCACTCTGCTAAATTATGGTGGGGACACTCCCTCTATAGATCCTTAAATCTTTCCCAAGACTCATACAAAGTTTCATCTGGCTTTTGGGAAAAGTTTTGAATTACGCTTCTTAGCAAAGTTGTCCTCTCTATAGGGTAATATTTATAATAGAAATTTAAAACAAGAGTCTCCCAGTTAGTTATACCAAGTGCGCTTCTATTTAATCCATTATACCATAATTTGGCTTTTCCACATAAAGAAAAAGGAAAGAGAATCTCCCTGATTTGCTCCTGTGTGGCCCCAGCTTGCCTGATGGTATTACAATATTGACAGTAGCCTGCAATATGAAAATTTTGGTCTTCACCCTTAGCTCCACTAAATTGCTTCCTTCTATCATTGTGATAAATTGGGGTTTAATCTCGAATTGCACCCTATCAAGAGCCGGAGTGGGAGTAAGGTATGGAAAATTTGTAAGCATCGGCTGCGAATAATCACTAAGCTTCTTAGGTGTTGTCATCTTTGATTCTGAATCTAAAGGTACTTCTGAATCACTAGAATCAATTGGAGGGTCTCGGCGATTATTGTTATCCCCATAACCCGCCAGAAATTGCTTGTAAAGATTCTTTTGTCTATGGAAAGAGCGTTCGATCTCAGTATCGAATGGGATATAACCTGATGTGGAACCTGGGCATAATAAAGAACTAAAAAGAAAATATGAGACTTGCCTCAAAGAACTAACGTTCTCTGAGACAAGAAGAAATAACCTAGGCTATAGAAAACAATCAAAAATAAAAAACAAAACCGTTTCCTCGGCAACGGTGCCAAATTTTGACAGGCTAAAGTCGTATCACTCAATCAAAAGTAATTCCTAAATCCTCTAACTAATAAAAATAGGAAATTAGGGTCAAATCCACCGGGAAACAAGTCTTCTTATTCCTAATTAATTATAGCAATCTAAATTATTAAGTAACAATTTAATAATATGGATAGGAAACTAAACTAAAAAGATTAAGGGTAAAGAGAAATCATTGAATAAAG